GAGAAAGGATCTGCACTGTTTGTCTTTAGGAGGCACTTCATTTTCTTCCTTGTTTTGGAAAGTGATACCCAGCTCTGCATGTATGTGGGTGCCTTTTTCAGGAAGTGTTGCTCAGAGACTCAACATAAGGAAGAGTGGTAGACTGGGCACGCGTGGATTTGCCCCCTCCACAGCCGTTCCCCCTCCTTTGGTAACAGTCCTGTGATTTCACATGGGAGTCTCAGCCACATGGTCCATGAGACTGACCCTCACTTGACCCACTTCCGCCTCTCCAAGCTGGGCACTTCTATCATCCTAAGCAATCGGTCCCCGTGATTGTACTGAGATGTCCACATGACTTAAGTTAGGACCAGGAGAGGCAGCCGCAGGACTTTTGCTGCCGCTTTTGTAAAAGAGGAGCTTGCCTCCTGCTCTGGGTACTAAATGGATGGGATATCCATCTGCAGCGACTCCTGGCTTGTTTTGTGGAAGCTTGCCTGGGAATGAAGCCAAGTAGAAGACACCCAGTTGTGCCATGAAGAGAGAAGCTTCCTGAGGACGTTGTCTGAGCATCCAGCTGCAGCTGAAACTGAGACTATACCCCAGGACTTCTTAGTTATATGTGCCTATAAGTCTTCTCCCCTTCCCTTTAACTTCACCGTTTTGCATTTGGGTTTCTGTCACTTGCAATCATTTTGGTCCTACCTTGTACAAGTGGCTTCAGAAAGCCCAGGAGCCTTGTCAAGGTCACTATGCCGGGCAGAATAAAATGAATGCTGCTGCTCTGCCATTGCCTCGGATGCTGCTTTTGCTGTAGATGAAGCCTGCAGGCTTATTTCTACGTCATGTTTGACTCAGAGGACACAGCTGCCTCTGAGAAGGATTGCCAGTCAGGAGTCGACAGCCAGAACTCAGCTCAACCATCAACATATTCAGTTCTGTGCTATTGTAGAGCAGCGCTCTCTCTCAGGACACCCCTGGACAAAAACGAATGCACATAAAGTTCCAACACACATTTGGAAAGCCAGAGTTTCCACTTGTATCCGTGTGCAAAGGAATAATTGTTCTCAGACCCCCTGGAAGAGACAGCTCTTGGCTCACTAAGATGAGCTGATGTGAAAAATGCTCCTTGAGTGGAAGGCAGCAGGAAGCAGCTGTTAAGGGTATGGGCAATCAGAAAGAAGAGGCCACTTTAATATGTATTCATCCAGCAAACATTGATTGAGTGCCTTCTATTATTCTATGGACAGAAACACTAATAAAAGACAAAGTTCATGCTCCCAAGAAGCTTTCAGGTGGGTCAGGGAGTCAGGTAAGAAAATGAACTGACAAATAATATAATTAGTGATCTTTAAATGGAAATAATAGAAAGGTGATACCTACCCAATAGCGTGATTTTCTTCTTCCTTAGTTCCTAGAATTCTGATTTTATTCTAGGAGGTAAAATTCTCAGGTAGGTGGGGCCCTCCCCAGGCTCAGGATGAACGATGATAGATCTAAGCCAGTGATTCTCAAATTTTGGTATATATCAGGATCACTTAGAGGGCTTTTAAATTCCCACATCCTTGGCTCCTCCCCACACCCACTGAGGTTTCCAATTCAGTAGGTTTAGGTGAGGCTCAAGAACATGTATTTCTAACAAGTTCCCAGATGCTGCTGCTGCTGCTGGCCTGAGGACCACTAATCTAAATGAAGCATGGTCACCCGGTCCGCCTGTTGTGGCATTTGAGTTAGGGTTGGGGATATGACCAAGTTCTGGCCAATGAAGTGAAAGGTAAACCCCGTGGGGGACTTCCAGGAAGGATTTTTGCAATGTGAACGTTGTTTGCAGAAACCTCACCTTCATGCTGTGCAATGTCTGTGCGGGTATGTTTGTTTGGTTTATGTACTGAAGAGTGATCAATGAATACAGTAAAAAAAAGCTGCACTGCCCAATAGAAATTCCTTCTGCTTTTGTGAGGCTGTTTTTCTTTCCTCTCCCTCCCAGCAATGGAAATATGTGGGAGAGCAAAGCTTTGAGTCAAGCCCATACCAGAGCCCAGGAAAATTTCCAAGACCCTAGAGATTCCCAAAGACCGGGGGCTTGTTCAATGCAGGAAGAAGGGTCTTCATGGCACTCTGAGGATTAGCTGTGAATGAGAGTAAAATCTGGAGTGACAAGAGCAAGGAAGCCAAAAGGCACCCAGGTCTGCCCATCTAGGATGAGACACAGAGTTTCAAAGAGGGTGTCCCAGCCTGAAACAGCCCCCAGGGAGCTATGATGGGCCGAGCAGTGTGGGGAAGGGTCCATTTCATCTGCAGCACCCATGGGGGAGGGGCTAGCCCAGGGAAGAGTCACTGTCTTTGTCGTAGACACACTGGTTGAGCAGCTGGATGGACAGCAGTTAAGATTTGTGTCAGCAGAGTCAAGTCTGTGATGGAGACACATATTGATGAAAACATGCACACAGAAAACCAGTGTCTCAGAGAACCCCACCAGAACCACGTGGTCCTTTTCTTCTCCAGAAAAGGGAGCCCAGGTTTTGAAGAGGCATGGCTCCTAAAACAAATCTTTCACCTAACTGTGGAGCTAATGTGGCCAGCTCTCTCTCCTCTCCAGCTCCTGTTCTCACACACAGAGCTCTCCTCCTTGCAGAGCAGCGGCTGGTGGGAGTTTGTGTTAGAAAAACGCAGTCTTCCCCTCCTGAGTAGGGAAATCTCAGTTCTCCACTTCCTGCATGTCTCCCTACTTTTACACAGAAGAGTTCACTTGTGACACTTACAGTCATCAAACTGGTGGGGTTTTTTTCCACCACACCAAGCAATTCTCCGAATGTGCACTGGGCGTCCTGCAGTTTCACTCTATTCTGACACTGTTGTGTCAAATCCCACAAGTTAAGGTCTCAGGTTCACAAAACTGCTCCCACCCCACTTCAGACGTAAATCACAAATAGTAGGTCCCCAGGGTTCCCACAACTTCTGTCTGACTTTGCTAGAAATCAGAGGTTCCCACGACCCCTCATCGGGTTCCATTAATTTGCTGGAGTGGCTCACAGAATTCAGGGAAACACTTATTTACATTAACCAGTTTATTAAAGGATATGCTAAAGGAGACAGATGAACATCCAGATGAACAGATACATTGGGCCGGGTCTGGGAGGGTCCAGAGCACAGGAGCTTCTGCTCCCATGGTGTTGGGGTGTGTCACTCTCCTGGAAAGTGGGTGTTCACCCACCTGGAAGCTCCCCAAACTGTGTACATTAGAAATTTTACAGAGGCTTCCTTATGTAGGCATGATCAGTATTCTCTTCATTTTCAGCCCTTCTCCCCAATGAAGATAATAAGAGGTGGGACTAAAAATTTCCAGTTTCTACTCATGGCTTGGTCTTTCTGGTGACCAGTGCTCATCCAGGAGCTACCCAGGCGCCTTCCTAGAGTCTCCTCATTAGAACGAAAGACGGGACTGTCATCCAGGAATTGACAGGGGATTCAGGAGCACTGGGTCAGTAAGCAGGGTCAAAAACCACATAATAGAACAAAAGGTAGCCACAGTGCTCTTATCTCTTAGGAAATTACAAAGGTTTCGGGAGCTCTGTGCCGGGAATTGGGGGCAGAGACCATACAGATGATCTCACACAGGCATATTGGAAGGTGACTCCTTGCGTGCCCAAGCCTGATTTTCTGGGTCAAGATGAGGCCCACCTCTCAGTCCCCCTGCAACTGAAGCAGAAAGCAGGACCCACCACGGTCCCCATTGGCCCTAGTTGTCCAGATTGGCACGCTTCATGCTCCCCAGGTACCTTAGTTGTTCACACTGGGGACTGTCATGTCCCAGGAAAAATATCACAAGGCATGAAGAGGCTGAAGACACATGAAAACAACAGTAGAGGGGCCGGCCCCATGGTGCAGCGGTTAAGTTCGCACATTCTGCTTCGGTGGCCCAGGGTTCACTGGTTCGGATTCCAGGTGCAGATCTACACACTGCTTGGCAAACCAGGCTGTGGCAGGCGTCCCACATATAAAGCAGAGGAAGATGGGCACAGATGTTAGTTCAAGGCCAATCTTCCTCAGCAAAAAGAGAGGGATTGGTGGCAGATGTTAGTTCAGGGCTAATCTTCCTCAAAAAGAAAAACAAAAAAACACCCCAACAGTAGATGCCCAAGGCGTGCTCTTGAACGTGTGCATTGATGACAGTACAGGCAAATAAACTCAAATGCTCTCATTCCCATGAAAGCTGTGTGAAACGCTATGAACAACAGAGAAGATAGATTCTTTTCAAGCCAGTATTCCAAATAGTTAGAAAAATTAACCACGTAGTGATCAAAAGATCAATCCCTAAGGGAATCTCCAGTTCCCACTGCCAGAAAGATGTCCAATGATGTCACCAGGGAATTCCTCTAGGACTCAGAGTGCCCTCTCTCTAAGGTACATCCAAGAATTGAGGCTCCAGGGGCCTGGAGGAGGCAGGAGGGGTAAGGCAAGGCCAACTCTGAGAAAGAGAACACGTGTAGGGCAAACCAGGGAGACCAGAAAGGGCTGCTAAAGACTGGACTCCAACCCGGGCCGTGGACCCAGCACCAACGTACACTCTAAAGGTCAGAGCTTCAGCTCACCTGACCCACACCCGGCTTCCGGGTGGGCTACACATGCGTCTAAACTCTGGAGAGTGAAGACTATCTATTTTATGCAGAGTAAGAAGAAATCAGGTCAACACAACATATAAAACATTTAAAGAAATGAGAAAATGCTTAATTCTCTGGTTTCAAAATACTGAATTGGTTTGTGCAAATGTGTCCATGCGTGTGTACATGTGGGTCTGTCTGTGTCTGTGTGTGTGTCTGTGTGTGTGTGTGTGTCCAGCGTGTCCCATAAGTCTTGGTGAAGGCTTTCTAACTTCAGAAGTAGAAATGCTACTAACATAAAACACATTATTGGGAGGCTTAATTACTTATATTTTTATTATACTTATTTTAAATAATAAATCATTAGTTTGAATTTTTGTGTCACTTGTTCTAAGTGAAGATGGCAAAGGTTGATGGAAAGAGTAAGAACTTCAATATTCAAAATCAAATAAGTATAAAATAAAGTTCGACTTCTGGATTGATGAAACGAAAAACCTGTTATGTGGACAAATGGAGTTGAGATTTGTACAACGTGGTTGAACCTGGAGGGCATTATGCTCAATGAAACAAGCCAGACAGAGAAAGACAGATGCTGTCTGTGTCACTTACATGTGAACTCAAAAAACAATAAAAGACAGGTCAATTCATAGAAACAGAGAGAAGAAAAGTGGTGGCCAGTGGCTGTGGAGTGGGAGGGAGAGGGAGAGGCAGGTGAAAGGGGACAAACTTTCAGCTCCGAGATCAAGAAGCTCTGAGGTCTCATGTCTGATGTGGGGCCTAGAGTCGAGAACACTGAATTGTCTAATTGAGATCAGCTAAGAGAGCAGCACTTCAGTGTCCTCACACGCACACAGAGTCCATAAGTGAGGGGAAAACAACAGTCAGAGTTGAGGACAGAGGAGAATGAGGGTGTGCATCCCTGGGAACTAGATCAAATTCCTGGGAGAACTTCAGACTTTCAAAGGCCATGAGATAGGTGGGTTCAAACCAAGAATCCAGGAGACACAAGGAACCAGGTGACATCCGGTTTCCAGGTGGAAGAAATAGAAAACTAGCTAAGGTCTGGAAGGCCCAGGAGGGTGGAAGGAGGCAGTTGGAGGCCAGTTGGTGGGGGAGGGGCTGTGGTCCAGCCTGCTCCCCTGCTGTCCCCTCCCCAGCATCAGGAGCCGTTTGTGACAAGACCACAGTTATGTCATGGGGGGCCTGGGGTAATAATCTCCAAGCCACTCCCAGAGCTCAGTTGCCTGAGGGCAGCACTGCGTTTCAGACATGGAGAATCCTCTCGTGTTTCTGAAAAGCTTTATTGCTACCTGGTTGAGCTCCAGTTCCGCTTCCTGGGTGATTGGGACCATCCTCCCCACCCTGTGTGGACTGGGGCTCTTCCTCCTGTTCCTTCCCTCCCTCCAGAGGAATCCATCCTTACGACCACCTTGCAAACGGAGACACATCAGGAAGGTAAGAAATCCTGAACCGAGACCCACCAGAAGATGAGTCTCTCTTCTTTTTTACTATGATTCCCACTTCTTTGAATCAACTAGAGGGACTCCAGGGATGGGAAAGAATAGAACATCATCCTTCTTGGGACAAGCCAGGCCGGGCGGGCAGGGGTGAGAGTGGGCACAAGGATTTCCATCCGAAGATCACGGAGCAGGAGTCCTGGTGTTGTAGAAGGCTCCAGGGAAAATCCCCAGTCCACTGACCAGCATAGCCTGAATGCTGAGTGGGATCTGTGGGAGGATAGGCCCTGAACACTGGTTCCCCAGCCGCTTTCCCGGGGCAGGTATCTTGACCAGGTCTTTCCTCTATCGTGGCTGATCTGAGGGCAGAGCTGAGCCCCCAAAAGCCTCCAAGCAGGGTCTGGAGTGGAGCTCGGGCCTCGGGAAGCAGAGTCCTCCCTGAGCAAGCTTAGAAGCTTCTGTAGGTCTGAGCATGTGCGTGTTTCTTGAGCAGACGACAGTGATGAAAGAAATCCATGGTAGGTCTCACATAGAAAATTCTTCCTTATGTTCTTCAAAGAAGGAAGACACCAAATATCCATTTCATGTTCTATCATCCACTTTAAAAATGTTTAAAAGGAAAGAAACACCCCAGAGCCCCAGGAATTCAGTGTAGACAGTCATCTTGCTCATGAGCGCTGCGTGTCTGCAGCTGGTCCAGAGAGAGGAGAGGGAGCCTTGAGTCTCAGACCCCAGAGTTTCTTGCTTTTTCTCTCCTCTCAGCGTCAAGTGGAGCCAAGAGGGAGGAGCAGCAGGAGCAGGAAGAAAAGGGGAGCTTTGAAAGGTAAGCCTCTGTCATTCAGCCCTGTGCCCCAGAGCTGGCCTCCATCACCTGTCCCTGAGCACCCAGCTCCGTGGGCTCGAGGATGCCAGGGACACAGCCTGTCCCTCAGGAAACAGAGCCCTCAGGGAGGCTCCCAGAAGGCTCCCAGTAAGGAGATGAAAACCCAGATACTTGCCAGAGTCTGTCCTGGGAACCAAGGCCCAGGCCAACAGGCGTCTGGAAATGGCTGTTGCCCAGCAGGGGCATGTGGGCTGTGGTGGAGGTGGAAGCACTTGGTCAATGACAAATCTCAACCCATCAGCAGCCTTTCCAGCCCCATCAGGGATCCCGTGGCCTTGGACACAGGTGCCTGGGCTCCCGAGTCTGACCTCAAACGGTCTCCCCTAAAGGCACATTGCATGCAGCCTCCTGTAAGAGCCCTCGGCCCCCCCCTTCATCGCTGTGACCCAGTGTCCTGATTTCTAGCTTACAGAGCTGGCTGGAAGGGCCTGGCAGAAGTGCAAGGCCCGATGTCGCATCCTCAAAGGTAAGAAATCTTCCTCTTCTCTCCTGGACTTCTTCCTCCCAGAGTCTCTGATGTGGCCACAGGGCTACAGGCAGCTTGGGGCTGAGCTGGGAGGGGAGCCTTGGGGCAGGGGGTGCAAAAGGCCTGGGGTGAGGGACAGCAGGAGAATTCGGTGAAGTGGAAGATGGGCCAGGGAGGGCCATGGGTCTCAAGGGGCCACCCCAGCCTGGACTGCCCTGCTGTCCCGGGCCCCTCTGCTCCTGGCTGCAGCTTGTGCCTCCTGTCTCCCGCAGCTCCCGGGAGAGGCTGTCTTCCAAGGGATGCTTCCATTGCTCATCATGTCAAGACTCCCCTGGGGAGGTGTGCAAGACAGCATCTGCCAGAGCCCAGCAGCCATGCGGGAAACCTGTGGAAGGTGCTCCTCTTGCCATGACCCCAGCACTTTTCCTGGCTCCTCTGACCCAGCCTGCTCTAACTCTGGCCTCCACCCTGCCAGCAGAACCTCTATCTGACTTGACCAGAATCCCACTGGGCACCATTGCCATGAGCACAGCTCCAGGTCACTCCTGTTTCCCACCTACCAACTCAGGCCTCAGCTACGCAAGGTGTCGCCTTGAGTTCCTCTCCCGGTGGAACGTGATCAAGGTCTTGTTCTTCCCCGTGCCATCACACTTCGAGTCCCAGCAAGGGCACCTGTCCTGCCACCGACCAGTGGCCTCACTCTGGGGAGGCCCCACAAATAGGGAGGGAGAGACGGAGAGCCCCTCACTTGCCAACCCTGAGGTCCAGAAGCTGCTCGAGATAGAAATCACGGAAAGAATACAAAGGGAGGTCTGGGAAAAAGAACAAGATGATCCAGGCACCACTCAGATGCTCGAAGCACACGGTATCATGTCTGGGCTGAATTTCCGCTGGGGCCTACCCGTCCTGTCCTTGGGGCCTGCAGATCTGAAAGCATGTGAGGCTCAACCCTTGGCCCTTCCAGGGTCGCTTTTTCCCCCCTCAGCCACCTGTGATTCTGACTCCCACTTGAAAGCCGACTTTGATGAGGTCCTGGGAAATCCTCTTGAGCCCGTTCCAGGAGAGAAACATAAGACTTTGACAACAAAAGCATCAGTTCCCAGCCTGGCCCGTCCCCTCCCTGCTCCCTCACCTGTGTGTGAGGAAGATCAGAAGGCCCTGGGAGGGACCCTTCCTGGAGAAGGCAGTGGGCCCTCGGAAGCCTCTCTCTTGGGACAGGAGGGCCGGCCGCCTTCTCCAATCTTCGCATTCAGCCTCTCGGACAGAAATGGGCAGAGTGGGACTGTCGTGGGGGCCGAGCAAGGCCGACTACACCTGAATCCGGGGTCAGGAGTGGCCAGGAATGAGCCTCGGGAGGAGAGTGGGGGTGGGGTGTCACCAGAGCCCTGCCGTGGGGTGGCAACACTGGAGGGGGAGTCAGGGTCCCAGTCTGGGAGCCAGGTCGGGGGAATAGGAGACACCCTCGGGACCAAACCCCTCCAGGCCCTGCCTGAAAAGGAAGAGGTTCTTCACGACAGCCCTTTCAGAAAAATGTTGAGACGCCTCCTGCCCTGCCTGAGGCCCAACAAGGAGGAAGCACCAGAGGATCCCCTTGCAAAGGCAAGCCCGCGTCAGCCACCGCCCAGAGCCAGGCACGGGTCACACACAGCTCGGCGTCGGATGGCGGGGCTGTTCAGGCGCCATCGACAGTGACATCCTTCCTCTGCGTCCCGGGAGAAAAACTAGGATTCGCCAAGGACTTCGTGCCTCCCAGACGAAGCATCGTAAAAACCATTTCAGGCCTGGGAAGCTGGACATACCTGTTACCACACAGTTCCCTCCTCCCCAGACCAGAGAAGAACAATGACAGAGGACAGTCCCCAACCTACCTCCAGGGACCACAGGTGTACTAGTAAGAGGAGTGGATCAGAGACAGCCATGGGAACTGGACCTTGCCATCCAGGCAGCCGCGGTCCCCAGCCAAACCCTGCCAGCCTTGGCTGAGGGTGGCAGCTGCCTCAGCCAATCCATTACCCGCCATGCTGTCTTCAGATATGCGTCTCCTGGGATGAGTAGACTGTGCCTGACACACCTGTCCTCATAGGAACGCTTATCTCCCCAAATGGGGAAGTGGAGGCACAGAAAACCTGGTTTTTCTCCTTACCCCACCCTCTGTGCTAATGGCATCCTCCTACCCCAATTTTCCTCAAATACATGGTTTTTCTCCTGAGAGCTGGTGGCCTCTGTCTGTGCCCTGCTAGGGGTAGAAACGGGGTGAGGCTCCGCCCTTCCTGAGTGTCTGCTTTGGCTTCCAGAAGGGGCAGGGCCATGGGGGGAGGCTGACCGCAACATGGTTCACCCGCCCTCACCCTCACTCCCTCATTGCTCCTGAAGTCCCCATCATGCCATCCTTACAAAAACAAATGGAAGCTTTAGGATATTTCCAGATGAGCAAAACCTCTAAGAGCCCAGCCCAGGATGGGCCCCGCCTGTCCTCTCCTGCGTTCTCTGGCCCTTGAACTTGTGCGGCTGTAGGGAGGGGGTTTGCAGAGGCTCCAGGAAGTGTAGAGACAGGTTGACAGGTCACAGAGTGGGGAGGGGAGTGTGGGGCAGGGCTGGCCCTGAGTCTGGAGGGCGAGGAAGCTGGCCCTGCACCCCGAGTTCTTGGTGGGAGTAGATGACGCTGCCCCGGGGAGCTTCTTCTCTCCCTGCTGAAGCTGCCATGGAGATGAGCCTGCACATCCCTCTTGGCCCAGCGTCACCGTCCCTCTTTCCTTGTCACAGTCTGGAGCAGCAGTGACGATGACGACTGTGCTCCAGGCTCTGAGGGTGGGCGGGTGGGGAGCAAAGATGCTGCTCTGGGCCTGTCCCCTCTGCCCAGAGGAGCTCAGGGCCCTGCTCTCCTGCACCTGCCTTCTCCTCCTGGGGAACGGAGCCGGGGGTGAGTGTGTGGGGTCACCATCTGATGGTGGGACACTGTGGGCCTAGGGTGGGATGTGGGGGAAGGAGGCAACTACCACCAGAGTGTAACCATTTACCTGTTGAAGGACATTTTTTGATTTTGATAATTTTACCCTTTATGAATAAAGCTGCTATGAACTTCTTGTGAAGGTTTTTGTGTGAACCTAAACTTTTCTGCACAGTAAATATCAATGGGAATGAGTAACGAAGGTTTGAAAATGGGCCCGCCTCCAGGATCTTAGAAGGAAATGCAACATGCATTAGAGGTTGAAAGGGTGAAACAGGGCAGAGAGAGTAAACCTAACACCATATCTTGGATTTGAGCCATTTCCTGAGGAAAAGTCCATTGCCTAATGCACGGCACAGATGCCGAGGACGTGGGAGGGACAGGTGTCACCACATTTAATAAAACACTGTCAAAATGTATTTGGACAGGAGACCCCTGACCTTTAACCTCTCAGAAGCTTTTTACTATTCGTCTCCAGAGAACATTAGTTAGACAGAGATCCACACCTATGGAGCAGGTCCCCTGAATGAAGTGCATGGGCTGTTGGCCACTTGAATTAAGAAGAAACTGATGGTTGCTGTGGACCCAAATTATTTGTCAATGAACAGACAACTTCAGTTTCTCATTTGAATATTGGCAGAGAAACACTAGCTTAAATGATAACGGAATCCCCTGAACCCGAACAGAGCAAGAAAATATCAATGTATTCCTCGCCTTCCTATCACTTCTCCAGGTCCTACTGAAATAAGGAATATTCAATAGAACAGAAAAGGGAAACTTTCTGAAACTCGTCTTAATATCGGAGCAGCAAGTGCTTCCTGTACTTCTGTCTTCTGTTATGACAGAGATAGAAATCATCATGTCAGGGAAATTGTCAGGGAAATAATCCAATTTCCCTAAATTTGGGGTGGGCGGTCTTTATTTAATACCAGGGGTTCCTCTCAACTATTCACACTCTTTCAGTTGGATTAGGTTTTCTGGGAGAGTTTTCTGATTGATTTACATTTTAAAACACATTCGCTCCTCATCCTTTCTCTAAGCTGGGAGGCAGGCCAATTCAGGGAACACGCGTGAGGCCTGAGTCATGCCAGTCCCCGCTCTGAGCAGCTGGCTGTGAGGAGGCCCTGACAGACCCAGAACTCTTGTGCGGGAGAGCCTGAAAGGGGGACTCACTGATCACAGTCATGGGTCCTAGCCCAGGGTCCCCATTTGGAGGAACGGCTCCCCCTCTGGTCTGCAGATCCCAGGAGGCAGCTGCTGCTTTGGGTGCAGCTCCACCTGTGGGATGAGCTCACCAGGCAGTCACAGAGTGGACGCTTCCTCTGAGTAGCTGCCGGCCACCGGAGTGGTGTTCCTTTCATTTCTGCTTTCCTTAGCAGTAACGTGAGGTCCCAGGCTGTATCACAGAGACATTCCAACAGCTGGCCTCCCTGGGAATGCCTGATTGAGGCCCCATTTCGTTACTCTCTTCCCTGGAAGAGACTGACTTCTGTAGTCACCCAAAGAGTCTTCAGGCAATCTATAGTGGGGTGTCTTTAAAAGGAGTCTTAAGGTCTTCACAAGAAATGGACACGGAGGTCTAGAACAAGTACCGAACAGGGTTAGGTTTTGAAGTTGGTGAAATATAAGAAAGCCAAATTAGGATTGTCAAGAATATGGTGCGAGGGGAAAATAAGTCATCTAAAATACTGAATTGCACCAACTGCTTCTTCAAAGCTACGGTGATCATTGGATTTTCTCACTCATTCAGTTAATGTGATCCGTTATAATGATTAAATTTTTTGAATGTGAAAACAACCTTGCCTTCAGGAACTCAACTCTCTTTAAAGGTTTTTGTGTCCATTTGCATTTCCCCAAGAATTTTCATTTCTTTATCTGTAGCGCTGGTGGATTTCTCTCGTCCTGTTTCATTCTCTCCACCTTGCTGGAGTTTACCAGGCATTGCAATGCAGACATCAGCATTGCGCTTCCTAGCAGAGAAGGCTGGGACCAAAGAAACAGGCAAACTGGGAGACCAAGGTGGAGGACATGGCATAGCTCTCAACGAGACCAGGAACCTCACATTTCATGAAAAGCCACAATCTCTTTCATGAACAGAGATGCACAACTCAGAAACGAATCATAAGCAGAATGTAGCACAGTGAAGATGAGAAGATTTGTGACACTAAAGTGAACACATACATTGTGTTCGGATCCAATGACAACCTCTATCATTTGCAGTTCATAAATGAGGAAAAATAGTAGGATATTTCTTCAAAATGGTACTTTATTATAAGGATGAAGGCTAAAAAATTCTATTTGGTGGCCTATTAATAAATACATGATGATTCTTTTCATCTTCCCTTATTTCTTCCTTAGTCCTATGTTGCTACGGTAGGCATGTTTGAGTGCCCAATGTCTACTTATTGGCTTATTGGAAGGCCATCCTTATCATAGAAGGACAATCAGGTCAAAATTGTGTTGAGCTGTGTGGGGTCAAGAACACAGACCTGAGAGTCAACGGACTGTGTGATAGGCCTACTTCTGCCACAAACTAGACGTATGACCTTGGGCAAGTAAGTCACATGGCTCAAACCCTCCCTAGGCCTTGTGTGGAAGTGGTGTTCCTGTGCCCACAGAATCTCAACATTCCTCCAAGATGCTTGAACCTGTCCAAAATACTTGCTGCTCTCCAAAAATCTGCTATCCAGGAGGCAAGTCAGACACATCCATAGATGGATGTGCTATCAAGCAAATGCTAAAAGTGGTTTAACAGAAGTGGAATGAAGTATGTGGAGATATGGACTTTGCAAGGTTCTCTGAAATGCTCTTAAAGGAGGCATTCATGGAATTGGACTTTGAATCACAGTCAAGATGTTACAGAATTGTGGAGAAGGTGCAGAGTGAAGGAAAACCTTGATCAGAGCAGGAAAGTCGGGTTGAAAGGCTTAGCATCTTCTGAAGCGATGAGTCCACAGACTGTATTGGTGAGGAGTGACCCACTGGGAATGTGCTGGTAAGAATGCCTGGACAGAATGCCGAGCTATGGGTTGAGCCATTCCTCACAGTAATTCCATGTTCAGAGATACCTGCAACGCTCTTACTTGTATCAGATCCTAGAGATATATATTATTTCTGCCACACACGAACTATTAAACCATTCAGTGGTCTATATTTTAAGTGGAACCATGCCTGACATGTCATAATTGCTATATAAGTGTTTTTACATCGAAAGTAAATATAATAACTTCCCAGAAAGCCCGCCGCTTTGCTTGATATGCTCTACGTGTTTCTTAATTTGTCCCTACACCATTTCATGACAGGAGGCAACAAAGTAGTAGACTGGAATTTCCGTCCCAGCTCCAGAAAAAGGTCTTTGTTGGACTTAAGAGAATAAAGTTGTTTTAACTGTTGAGAAAGACATTAAAGATCATTTTGGTGGCTGCTAAGAGCGTTCCTCTGAAGCAAGTTCTTCTGTGATCACACATATTCATAAATCAGGAACATATTTATCAGATTAAGCTAGTAAGAACAACTTACACAATACTTCTTTTGGTATAAGTAAGATTACCTTATTATCAAGTAAAAGAGTATCTCCCCATAGGTGTGTGTAAGTATAGTTGTGCAATAACGATAAAATCGTATATCTAAGCACTACCTGTCCAACAGGTCAGAAAAATTGACATGTTGATCAAAAAGTATAATCCCTAAGTGAATCCCTGGTTCTTACTGAAAAGAGATGTCTGTTGATGTCACCAGGGAATTCCTCTAGGACTTAAAGGGCCCTCTTTCTACAGGTTCAGGCAAGACTTGAGGCTCCAGGGGCCTGGAGGGGGCAGGAGGGGGAAGGCAAGGCCAACTCTGAGAAAGAGAAACGTGGAGGGCAAACCAGGGACACCAGAAAGGGTTACTTGAGACTGGACTCCAACCCGGGCCATGGACCCAGCCCCAATGTCCGCTTGAAAGAGCAGCACTTGAGCTCACTTGAGCCATGCCCGGCTTTGGGGTGGGCCACACAGCCGTCTAAACTCTGGAAACCGAAGACTGTCTATTTTAGGCAGAATAAGAAGAAATAGGGTCAAGACAACATAAGAGAGTAAAGAAAATGGGAATATGCTTAATTCTCTCCTTTCAAAATACCGAATTGGTCTGTGCAAATGTGTCCATGCCTGTGTACGTGTGGGCGTGTGTGTGTGTCCAGCGTGTCCCATAAGTCTTGGTGAAGGCTTTCTCACTTCAGAAGTAGAAATGCTACTAACATAAAACCCATTATTGGGAGGTTTAATTCCTTAAATTTTTATTATGCTCATGTTAAATAATATATGATTTGTTTCAATTTTTGGGTGAGTCGTTCTGAGTGAAGATGGCAAACGTTGATGTAAATAATAACAACGTTCATGTTCAAAACCAAGTAAGTATAAAATAAAGTGGGACTTCCAGATTGACGAAACCAAAAGATTGTTATGTGGACAAACGGAGTTGAGATTTGCACAACATCGATGAAGCTGGCCAGCGTTATGCTCAACGAAACAAGCCAGACAGAGAAAGACAGACACTGCCTGGGGTCACTCACACGTGAACTCGAAAAACAACAAAAGAAAGGTCAATTCACAGAAACAGAGAGAAGAAAAGTGGTGGCCAGTGGCTGTGGAGTGGGAGGAAGAGGGAGAGGCAGGTGAAAGGGGACAAACTTTCAGCTCCGAGATCAAGAAGCTCTGAGGTCTCATGTGTGATGTGGGGCCTAGAGTCGAGAACACTGAATTGTCTAATTGAGATCAGCTAAGAGAGCAGCACTTCAGTGTCCTCACACGCACACAGAGTCCATAAGTGAGGGGAAAACAACAGTCAGAGTTGAGGACAGAGGAGAATGAGGGTGTGCATCCCTGGGAACTAGATCAAATTCCTGGGAGAACTTCAGACTTTCACGAGATAGGTGGGTTCCAACCAAGAATCCAGGAGACGCAAGGAAGCGGGTGACATCTGGCTTCCAGGTGGAAGGAATAGAAAACTAGCTAAGGTCTAGAAGGCCCGGGAGGGTGGAGGGAGGCAGTTGTAGGCCAGTTGGTGGCGGAGGGGCTGTGGTCCAATCGGCTGCCCTCCTCTCGCCTCCCTCCTCAGGAGCCCCTGTGACACGGCCACAGTTCCATGATGAGGGCGTGGGGTTCTAATCTCCAAGTCACTCCCAGTGCTCAGTTGCCTGAGAGCAGAACTCTATTTGAGATATGGAAACTCCTATCTTAGATCTAAAAAGCATTGTTGCTACCTGGTTGAGCTCCAGTTCCGCTTCCTGGGTGATTGGGACCATCCTCCGCATCCTGTATGGACTGGGGCTCTTCCTCCTGTTCTTTCCCTGCCCCAAAAGGAATCTGCCCTCACAACTAACTTACAAAAGGAGAAACGTCAGGAAGGTAAGAAATCCTGGACCGAGACCCACCAGAAGATGAGTCTCTCTTCTTTTTTACTGTGATTTCCACTTCTCTGAATCAACTAGAGGGACTCCAGGGATGGGAAAGAATAGAACATCATCCTTCCAGGGACAAGCCAGGTTGGGTGGGCGGGGGTGAGAGTGGGCATGAGGATTTCGATCCGAAGATCTCCGAGCAGGAGTCCCGGTGTGGTAGAGGGCTCCAGGGAAAGTGCCCAGGCCAGTGACCAGCAGCCATGGACAGAATGCTGAGTGGGATCTGTGGGAAGACAGGCCCTGAGCACTGGTTCCCCGGCCACCTTCCTGGGGCAGGGGTCTCAGGCGGGCCTTTTCTCTGTCGTGGTTGATCTGAGGGCAGAGCTGAGCCCCCCAAGAGCTTCTGGGCAGGACCTGGAGTGGGGCTGTAGCCTCAGGAAGCAAAGTCCTCCCTGAGGAAGCTCACAAGATTCTGTACATCTGAGAATGTGCGCGTTTCTTGAGCAGAGGAACAGTGGCAGAAGATGCATGCTCGTCCCACATGGGGACCTTCTTATGATCCTCCAAGAAGGAAGACAGCAAATGTCCGTTTTGTGTTCAATTATCCCCTTCAAAAGGAAGCAAAAGGGAAGAAACGCCCCAGAGCCCCAGGAGTTCAGCGTGGACAGTCATCTTGCTCACAAACGCTGTGCGTCTGCAGCTGGTCCAGAGAGAGGAGAGGGAGCCTTGGGGCTCAGCCCCCACAGTTTCTTGTCTTTTTCTCTCATTTCAGCGTCAAGTGGAGCCGAGAGGGAGGAGCAGCAGGAGCAGGAAGAAAAGGGGAGCTCTGAAAGGTAAGCTCCTGCCGTTCAGCCCTGTGCCCCAGAGCTGGCCTCCACCTCCTGTCCCTGAGCACCCAGGTCCGTGGGCTCGAGGATGCCAGGGACACAGCCTGTCCCTCAGGAAACAGAGCCCTCAGGGAGGCTCCCGGGAAGGAGATGAAAACCTGAGGACTTGCCAGATTCTGTACTGGGAACTAAGGCCCTGGCCAGCAGGCGTCTGGAACAGGGTGTTGCCCAGCAGGGGCATGTGGGCTGTGGTGGAGGTTGAAGTGCTTGGTCAATGACAAACCTCAACCCACCAGCAGCCTTGCCATCCCCGTCAGGGATCCCGTGGCCTTGGGCACTGGTGCCTGAGCTCCAGAGTCTGACCTCAAACAGTCTCCCCTAAAGGCACACTGCACGCAGCCTCCTGCAAGAGCCCTGGGCCCCCGCCTTCATCGCTCTGACCCAGTGCCCTAATCTCTAGCTTACAGAGCTGGCCCGAAGGACCTGGCAGAAGTGGGGGGCCCGATGTCCCTTTCGCAAAGGTAAGGCATCTTGCCCTTCTCTCCTGGGCTTCTTCCTCGCAGTCTCTGATGTGGCCACAGGGCTACAGGCAGCTTGGGGCTGAGCTGGGAGGGGAGCCACGGGGCAGGGGGTGGCAAGAGGCCTGGGGTGAGGGACAGCAGGAGAATTCGGTGAAGTGAAGGGAGGGCCAGGGAGGGCCATGGGTCTCCAAGGGCCACCCCCACCTGGCCTGCCCTGCTGTCCCAGGGCCCTCTGATCCTGGCTACAGCTCCTGCATCTTGTTTCCCGCAGCTCCCCGGGGAGGCTGTCTTGTAAGGGATGCTTCCATCGCTTGTCATCTCAAGACTCCCCTGGGGAGGCGTGCAAGGCAGCGTCTGCTAGAGTGCGCCAGCCATGCGGGAAGCCCGTGCAAGGTGCTCCTCTCACCACGACTCCAGCACTTTCCCTGGCTCTTCTGACCCAGCGCACTCTCCCTTTGGCCTCCACTCTGGCAGCAGAACCTCCATCGGCCTTGACCAGAACTCCCCTAGGCCCTGTTGCCACGAGCTCAGCTCCAGCTCACTCCTGTTGGCCGTTTCCCAACTCAGGCCACGGCCGCATGAGCTGCCGCCTTGAGTTCCTCTCCTGGTGGAACATGATCAAGGTCTGGTTCTTCCCCGTGTCATCACACTTCGAGTCTCAGCAAGGGCACCTGTCCTGCCACCGACCAGTGGCCTCATTCTGGGGAGGCCCCACAAACAGGGAGGGAGAGACGGAGAGCCCCTCACTTGCCAACCCTGAGGTCCAGAAGCTGCTCGAGACGGAAATCACGGACAGAATACAAACGGAGGTCTGGGAAAAAGAACAAGATGATCCGGGCACTCCTCAGATGCTCGAAGCACACGGTATCATGTCTGGGCTGAATTTCCGCTGGGGCCTACCCGTCCTGTCCTTGGGGCCTGCAGATCTGAAAGCATGTGAGGCTCAACCCTCGGCCCTTCCACAGTCCCCTTTGCCCCCCGCAGCCACCTGTGATTCTGGGGCCCCCTCGAAAGCTGACTTTGCACCCTTCATAGGAAAACCTCTTGAGCCTCCTCCGGGTGACAAAGTCTTAACTTTGACAACAAAAGCATCATTTCCCAGCCTGGCCCGTCCCCTCCCTGCTCCCTCACCTGTGTGTGAGGAAGATCAGAAGGCCCTGGGAGGGACCCTTCCTGGAGAAGGCAGTGGGCCCTCGGAAGCCTCTCTCTTGGGACAGGAGGGCCGGCCGCCTTCTCCAACCTTCCCATTCAGCCTCTCAGAGAGGAAAGGGCAGAGTGGGACCTTCGTGGGGGCCGAGCAAGGCCGTGGAGAGCTGAGTTCAGGGTGCCCAGTGGCCAGGAATGAGCCTCCGGAGGAGAGTCGGGGTGGGGCCTCACCAGAGCCCTGCCGTGGGGTGGCAACACTGGAGGGGGAGTCAGGGTCCCAGTCTGGGAGCCAGGTCGGGGGAATAGGAGACACCCTCGGGACCAAACCCCTCCAGGCCCTGCCTGAAAAGGAAGAGGTTCTTCACGACAGCCCTTTCAGAAAAATGTTGAGACGCCTCCTGCCCTGCCTGAGGCCCAACAAGGAGGAAGCACCAGAGGATCCCCTTGCAAAGGCAAGCCCGCGTCAGCCCCCGCCCAGAGCCAGGCACGGGTCACACATAGCTCGGCGTCGGATGGCGGGGCTGTTCAGGCGCCATCGACAGTGACATCCTTCGTCTGCGTCCCCGGAGAGAAACTGAGGCTTGCCGAGAACTTCTGGCCTCGCAGTCGAAGCATCATAAAGACCATTTCAGGCCTCGGAAGCTGGACATACCTGTTACCACGACGTTCCCTCCTCCCCAGACCAGAGAAGAACAATGACAGAGGACAGTCCCCAACCTACCTCCAGGGACCACAACTGTCCGACTACGAGGGAATGGATCGGAACAGGCGTGGCAACTGGACCTTGCCATCCAGGCAGCCGTGGTCCCCAGCCAAACCCTGCCAGCCTGGGCTGAGGGTGGCAGCTGCCTCAGCCAATCCGTTCCCCGCCGTGCTGTCCTCAGATATGTGTCTCCTGGGATGAGTAGACTGTGCCTGACACACCTTTCCTCGTAGGAACGCTTATCTCCCCAAACGGGGAAGTGGAGGAACAGAAAACCTGGTTTTTCTACTTATCCCACCCTCTGTGCTAATGGTGTCTTCCCACCCCAATTTCCCCCCCAATACACTTTTTTTCTCCTTAGAGGTCATGACTTCTGTGTGTGCCCTGCTACTGGTCAAAATGGGGTCAGGCTCCGCCCTTCCTGAGTGTCTGCTTTGGCCTCCAGAAGGGACAGGGCCACGGCGGGAGGCTGACTGCAGCGTGGCTCACCTGCCCTCACCCCGACTCCCCCACTGCACCTGAAGTCCCCATCACACCGTCCTTACAAAAACAAACGGAAGCTTTGGGCTGTTTCCAGATGAGCAAAACCTCTAAGAGCCCAGCCCAGGATGGGCCCCGCCTGTCCTCTCCTGCGTTCTCTGGCCCTTGAACTTGTGGGGCTGTGGGGAGGGGCTTTGCAGAGGCTCCAGGAAGTGTAGAGACAGGTTGACAGGTCACAGAGTGGGGAGGGGAGTGTGGGGCAGGGCTGGCCCTGAGTCCGGAGGGCGAGGAAGCTGGCCCTGCACCCCGAGTTCTTGGTGGGAGTAGATGACGCTGCCCCGGGGAGCTTCTTCTCTCCCTGCTGAAGCTGCCATGGAGATGGGCCTGTGCATCCCTCTCGGCCCAGCGTCACCGTCCCTCTTTCCTTGTCACAGTCTGGAGCAGCAGCCACAAGGATGACTGTGCTCCCGGCTCTGGGGGCAGGCGGGTGGGGAGCACGGACGCTGCTGTGGGCCTGACCCCTCTGCCCAGAGGCGCTCAGGGCCCTGCTCTCCTGCACCTGCCTTCTCCTCCTGGGGAGCAGAGCAGGGGGTGAGTGTGTGGGGTCACCATCTGACAGTGGGACACTGTGCGCCTAGGGTGGGACGCGGGGGAAGGAGACAAAGTGCCACTAGAGTTTAACCACTTACCTACTGAATGACATTTTTTGATTTTTATAATTTTACCCCTTAGAAATAAACCTGCCATGAACTTCTTTGTGAAGGTTTCTGTGTGAACTTACATTTTTCTGCCCAGTAAATATCAATGGCAATGAGTCATGAAGGTCTGAAAATGGGCCCGCCTTCAGGATCTCAGAAAGAAATGCAACATGTGTTAGAGGTTGAAAGGGTGAAACAGGGCAGAGAGAGTAAACCTAACACCGTATCTTGGATTTGAGCCATTTCCTGAGGAAAAGTCCATTACCTAACGCACGGCACAGATGCCGAGGACGTGGGAGGGACAGGTATCACCACATTTAATAAAACACCATCAGAACGTATGTGGACAGGAGACCCCTGACCTTTCACCTGTCAGAAGCTCTTTGTTCTTCGTCTCCAGAGCACATTAATTAGACAGAGATCCACACCTATGGAGCAGGTCCCCTGAAGGAACTGGATTTCCACTTGAATTAAAAAGAAACTGATGGTTGCTGTGGACTCAAATTATTTGTGAATGAACAGAGTACTTAAATTTCTCATTTGAATATGAGCACAAGATCACTAGATTAAATGATAATAGAATCACCGGAAATGGTACAGAGCCGTAAAATGAGCAATGTATTCTCGGCCTTCCTATCGCTTCTCCAGGTCCTACCGAAATAATGAATATTCAATAGAAGAGAAAAGGGAATCTTCTGACACTGTCTTAATATCTGAGCAGCAGGGGCTGCCTGTACTTCTGTCTTCTGTTATGACAGAGATAGAAATCATCATATGTGTCAGGAAATAATCCAATGTCTTATTGCTAAAATTGGGGGCTGGGGGCCTTTATTTAATATCAGGGGTTTCTCTTTACTATACAAACTGTTCCAGATGGATTAGGTTTTCTGGAAGAGCTTTCTGATTGATTTACATTTTAAAACACATTCGCTCCTCATCCTTTCTCTGAGCTGGGAGGCAGGCCAATTCAGGGAACACGCGTGAGGCCTGAGTCATGTCAGTCCCTGCTCTGAGCAACTTGCTGTGAGGAGGCCCTGACAGACCAGGAACTGTTGTGTGGGAGAGCCTGAAAGCGGGACTCACTGATCACAGTCATGGGTCCTAGCCCAGGGTCCCCATTTGGAGGAACGGCTCCCCCTCTGGTCTGCAGATCCCAGGAGGCAGCTGCTGCTTTGGGATGAGCCCACCAGGCAGTCACAGAGCAGACCCTTCCTCTGAGCCTCTGCCTGCCACCCGAGTGGTATTCCTTTCGTTTCTGCTTACCTCAGCAGTAACGTGGGGTCCCAGGCTGCATCACAGAGACATTCCAACAGCTGGCCTCCCTGGTAATGCCGTGACTTGAGGCCCCATTTCCTTAAACCCTTCCCTGGGAAATAGTGACTTCTGTGTAGTCACCAAGAGAATCTCCAGGGAATGTATTATGAGGCGTCCTTAAAAAGAGGCCTAGGGGCTTCGTAAGAAATGGACTGTAGGTCTAGAACAAGTATTGATATCGAACCTCTTCATCTCAAGTTCATGTGCCCAATGCACAGTAGGCTAGTCACTGAGACACCAGTGCTTGGAGATGGAGAAGCTTTTATTTGAATTGGCCAAAATGGAAGCACCTTGTTCTCTCAAATGCAAGTTACCAAAGGAAGACAGCAGTGAGTTTTACAGAGCTAAGTGTCTTGGGAGGGGGACTTTTGGAGAAGCAGAGGGGAAATCCATATTTCTTTCACTCCCCAGATAAGCCCTTGGACAATTAGAGTTCTGGGCGTCAATGTGGGGGAGGGACTGGTTATCTGGTGATGAGCACCTCCTTGTGACCCTTTAGTCACCCCTCAGGTTAAAGAAGAATACAGCAAATTAACCAGGTTAACTTCTTTTCATCTGTGTCCTGTGTTGGGAATAAGGTTGAAGGGTAATCATGTTCTTCCTGAATATTTTCGGTAACCCGCATGTACCCTGCTTCAGAATCACTCACCTTCAGATTCTTTGTCGTGTGAAATAGTTAAAAGTTGTTCTCATTTTCACTTAGAGCTGTAAGCATCCCAAGTGATTTAGAGGGCCAGCAATCTGAGCCTGAGTGGGATGGAGCATCAGGAAGGGCTTCCAAGAGGAGGTGATTCACTCCCGTGCCCTAGCTCTTCAGGGAGAGCGGTTCCCATTTGTGGTTTGGCAAAATGACACTTTATAGACTCACATTATAGAGTAGCTTTTGAACTGGCTAAACTAGGAATGTTATATTTATGAATGCCAAGATTTATTTCATGTATAAATAACTGTGTGGGAACGGAGGATGAGGAAACCATTTGTTCCACCTGTGGTGAAGTTAAGGAAAATTTTGTGTAGGTGACGTTTGGGCCAGACCACCTAGAGCTGATGTGCAGTGGTGGGAAGTATAGTGCTAGAGTCTAGCACCGTGCCTGGTGTGTTGTTTGTACATTTGTGCAGTTTAACTGATCTTAAGACCACATCACCCAGAGGAAATGGCACAGACAACAGTCTAAGGGCATAACAGAGCTTGGCATCTCTGGGTAAAGCACACGTTGGTATGGTGACCTAGTGGCAGTATGTGTTAGACTGTGCTGTAATAGGAAAAATGTTGGGAAGCATTGGATTAGGTTAGATTAGAAAGCAAAAGTAAAGAGATCAATTAAGTCAACCCCCCAAAGCGGAATATCCTAACCTTCAAATGCTACTGGAACTTAACCCTCTCAGTCTTCCCTGCCTTTGGAAGGGGTACCTCCTTTGTCTTAAGGAGGCAGTCGTTCCCTCTAGGAGCAGAAATTGCTTCACGCCCTACTTCTCATTTTACTGTGCCAGTAACCAAAACCTAAACACGACTTGGCCTGGGATGGAACAGGGTGGGGCAGAGCAGGGTGTGAAATGAGCCAGGAAATAACAATAAAAAATGATAATTTGTACTGCACAGCTGGGTTAAACAGATGAGATTGCTTACAGCTGGGAGTGACAAGGCCAGGGGCTCCACATGCCCAGCCCCCACCCAACCACCACCACAGTGAGGGGACCAGTAGCTCTACGCATCTGTAACTCATTGCTTATTTGCTTTTTAAAAAAGTCCTGATGATGTTTCTGAGAATGGATTTGAGGATTCATAAACAAGGATGATGGCATATAGTTTGAGTTTGGGCTGAATTTAGTGATATGGGTGCAGTTACATGCTAGCGTAGACAGAAGAGTTTGGCTTTTCTCTTTTTCTATTCTGAAAATGGCTTTCAAAATGATTTAAAACAATGCTCATTAAAACAATTTAGAAAAGTCCAGTATCTGTAAATCAGGTTTCACATCTGGTCGCAGGAAATATGTACTCTAGACCCACTGCCTGCGGAGGCAGCTACTTCCTTTTGTTCTTTAAACAACAGCTTTACTGAGGTATAATGCACACATCATACAATTTGCTTTTGTAAAGTGTGCAATTCAGTGATTTCAGTTTATTCACAAGATTGTGCAACCATCCTCTCTCTCCGAGAGGGCTGCCTGAAGATATGAGGGGACCCAGCAGAGAGGCTGTGTGGAGATGGAGCCCTGTGTTGGGGAAAGGGTGGGCCGCTCCTGTCTCCTCCAGGGAAGAAGAGCAGAGAACTTCCCAGGCAGCCCATCAGAGTACCCAGGATTGAAGCATCATCTTGACCATTTGATGTGTTCAGAGAAACTGCAAGTCTGGAGTGGTCATGAGTCACAGAAACTGGGGGTGGTTTGGGGGAGGGACTGGCAGAAGACGAAGAGAATGAAACAATCACAACACCCCTTCCTCAAGCTGAGGGGAGGAAGATGCTTTACGTTTACATAAAGCTAGCAGTTCAGGTTATTACACCGGACAAGGCATAATTTCTAGAATTAGATTTTTCCCGTGACTGAAAGCGATCAGAGAATGTTTTTCTTAGAGTGAGTGATAAACTATGAGGTTTGCCCAGGTTTCATCCTGTGGTCAGAGCTAGCCCCACAGGGCATATGGTTCCTGTTGTTCAACACTGAAGCTACCCTAATAAATAGCTTGAGAGAGTGATAAATGCTTTGAAGGAACAATAATAGTTCAGATGAGAGACGATGAAGATGAGGAAGTAAAGTATTTGGGGCAAATTGGTTTAAAAATGGACAAGATTTAGCAGCAGATTAGATGTGGGAGGTGACAAAGAAGGAGAAGTCAAAGATGACTCTACATTTTCTAGTTTGCGGCATGAGGTGGCTGTTGGTGCCAATAACTGAATTAAGGAATGCAAAGGAGGAGTAGGTTTTGGTGGGAGGAGGAAGATAGGGGTTTTGTTTGGACTTGCTGAGTTTGAGCTGCACGTGTCATGGAAAGGTGAGAGGCCAGGAGACAGTTGGAAATATAGTCAGGCGTTCAGGTGACAATTCAGATGGCATAGATTTTGGAGTTTTCAGGACATAGATAGCAGGAGACACATAAGCCTGGATAAAATCCTATAGGGGGAAAGAGCATAGGGTAAGAAAAGGGCTTGAGATGAAACCAACATTTATTTAATCACTGGTGGAAGGTACCAAAGCAATTGTCAAGGAGGAGGTAGAGAGACCTAAAAGAGAACATGGTAACCATGCGGTTAGAGTGAGAGGACAGGTGAGGATGTCTGAGCCACATAACCACTCCTTTCGGTAGTGCAAACAAATTAAATATTGGTGATGGCTGGCTTAATAGTAATAATGTGCCACTGTTCTTCATAACGCATTTGCTAGCACTCTGGACCCAGCGATAAGGAATGTCATTTGAGCAGATGATGATTTTACAGCATTCC